TGAGACCAATGGAAAGAAAGAGTTTGTTGATCCTTCAACCACCAGTCTATTTTTTATAGGTCATTTTTATTGGAATTTGTAGTCCTCTTTCTCCCCTACCCTCCTACCTACCTACCCCCTTATAAGACCAAATACGAAATTAAAAGCAATTTTTGACATCAAAATATATATATTTTTTGATGGCGCGAATAACCACAGGGTTGAAAATATTTTGCTTCAAATTGAGAATGACTTCTCCTCTAGCCATGTATATATATATACCCGTGATTTAAGAGTTTTTTTTAACCCTCTTTTTTACCTTCTTTGAATATGTAGGGCTGGACTACTTGCTTGCTGGCAGAAGCAGGAGAGGGGGAAGCAGCCTCCCCCGAAAAAAATAAAAATAAAATAATATAATATAAACACCGAAAAATAATAAGAATACGAATCAGAATAATAGTTTATTGGAAGGCGCGAAATGTGATTTTGATATAATTAGCCTGGAGGATATGACGGGGACGGGGGACTAAATTTTTTTTGGTTGGTCTAAGGTAAGGTAGTGAACACGACTATCAATCATAGTCTCATTTTCTTTATTGTATAATCTGTAGTTCCGAAAAATGTCACCAGTTAGCTAAACAAGAAGACTACGAAAAAGAGGAAAAGAGACGAAGAGACGAAGAAGAGTAACAACTGTAACAAGAAAGAGGACTACAAAGGAAAATAAAAATAAAAAAATAAAAACTCTTTCTGTGGGTCTTGCCGCGACTCGAACGCGGGGCCTCTCGCATATCAGATTAAGTGCACTTAATCGGGCAAACCCGAAGCGAGAATCATACCACTAGACCACAAGACCATTTTATTGGTGACTTGACTCCCCCTGCTTTCTTATGCCCCGATTAGCATTTCAACCCCACAACTAACCTTTCATTGTTTATATCACCAATCCCAAATTCCAACTATCTAATCCCAGGCCGCCTCGTCTCTCAGTGAACAAACTCAACAGGCATAGACTACTTCTCAAACCCCTCATCTTGTCTTCTTTTCATGGGTGTGTAAATCTCAAGGTTCCCTTCTTCTGTTGCTCTTCGCTTAGCATCCATATCAAAACTTATTTCGAGCTGTTTGATCATTTCTATTATCTTTTTATATAGCTTCATCAAAAGTTTCTTTTTTTCTTTTTTCTTTTTTTTCTTTTCCTCCTCCTGCTCGCAGTTTTCTCCTCAGAGGAACAATTTGGTTCGTTGGTAAGGTAATCCTTTCTTATTTCGTTCGGCATTTCCGCGTCGTCTCAGGCATACAAATGATCCATCAGCAGAATTGGAAGCTCCTTTTTTCTTTTGGTCAGTGAGACCTAAAAATGAAGTCTGAGCATGTTTCAGCAGCATGAACAGATATACCGGGGGTCTCTCAACTCAAAATGCATATAATGGATGTAGTTAAGGCCAATCCTATGGGGCGGGTTCTGGTCGGTACTATTTTAAAGTACGGCCCTGGGTGTGGTTACAAAATACTAGGTGATAAATCAAAATGGCAAATCAATTGTTGTTTCACTGCTGCAATACATAGCGTGGAATAGTCAAGGGCATAGCGCATTATCCAGCATACGGTCCGATGGGATGAGATGATAAACTGCGGGGACTATTGTCAAAGAAGTTTGAGTGAGAAAGAGAGCAATTCTCGGCCGATTTTCATGGATAGTACGGAAGGGCGGGCTTCGATATGGTGGAATATTAACTTAATGTAAAACGATTGATTTCGTAGAAAGAACTGATTTCGCAGCCGATTTTAAATATCCCCCTCCCCCCCCAAATGAGAACTGGGGAATCCGCGTCCAATGTATCCATATATAAAAAAAGGTAAATATGCCCTCCACCTGGTTCTCTTCTAGGAACCAGTGGCCAGGGCCAGCTACTGTCCGGGGTGGCTTTCGAATGGAGAGGCAAGACAGCCGCCTCATCCCCGCCCTTTTTATTTTTATTTCATTTTTATTAAGCAACAGGCAGCTGGGGGAAAAAAATAAAAATTAAGAGAATTGGTTGGATGGTTCAAAGCAAGCTAAGCAGGTGTGATCAAGCATGGGTTTGTGGGATGGAGCAAGGCGCCGGGACTGTTATTTGCGTCCTGCAGGTGTACCCCTTCAATTCCTCAGACACAACGGCGTAGCTCTATTGAGGACTTCATTGGGGCTGGCGTGGTTTTGTGTTCTGGTGTGTTCTGGTGTTCTGGTGGGTGGTGGTGGTGGTGGTGGTGATGTGTGTGCGTGTTGTGTGTTTCGTGCCCCACACCACCTCTAACCGCCCGCCCGTGGCCTATTTACCCTTAGGCACATATTTACCATAACCGCCTTGTTACTTGCATTGTTACTATCTCTTTAACTCTAGACTTGGGCTTGGATTGATATTCTGGAGGGAAGAAACGACCCCGTCTATTTCCAGTCGGCTAGTTAGTACACTCTTGTTTTTGCTGTGGCTAACATCGTGATATTTAAATGCATATTTATGCGACCTTGTCCAGACCACATCATCGTCATCAGCCGCCCCGTCGCTCACTAGTATTTAGTAGTTAATTGTGACAGCACTATCACTTCCCACTCCCCCCACCACCAGAACAAAACAAAACAACCACAGTTCTACGCAGTAGTTCAACTTCCCCATCCAACGCCGCTAGTTGGGCCTATTTCCCCCCCCCCCCAAAGTCTGGCTAAATAAATCATCGAATGTTCCTCTTGCAAATATCAATCCAAGCGCAGTCCGTTGCGTAGGTAGGTATTTAACTACTGACCTGAAACATCCTGTTCCCATCCCCTCATCGCAATATCATCGCCCAGTCAGGGTGAATCGCTGGTATTCCTTCACAGCCGCCTCAACATCTAAGACAAAAGGGCACTGACAATGTAGTAGTAAGATCTCTAGGCCCGCGCATCCCCTCCATCCCGGATCGGCTTGTCCACCCCTCTCTTGATCGTCCCACCCCCCCCTCGTTCACAGCAACTTCCTTTAAATCACTGGATTTCGCGGTATTCCTCCCACGATAAATCCCTAAGCTCGACCCATATAGGTGTCGTTCGATCTGGGTTACATACCCTAGCTAAAAGAGAAAAGGTTATCACTGGACTCTCTCCTCCGGCAGAAAGCAACTTCTTGCCCTTGTAAAACGTTCCCACAACTGCTCAGGAACTCTATCCAAACCATCTGAACAATCCCCTAAACTATCAGAGCATTGAGCTTGAGCTCAATTCACAACCATTTCTTCAGGAGGAACGGAGAACTAGCTGAGTTGTTGTGTTGTTGACTCTGCATCAGCAATTGTAAGATGGTTCTTTTCCCCCTTCCCCATACTGCCATTCACCCTCTACGATCAACCTTTCATCTCTTCTGTCACTATCTGAAGCATTTCATTGTTCAATGCCAAAATCCTTTCAGCGGAATTTTTTCTTGCCTTTTTTATTCTTTTCTTTTCTTTTTCTTTTTTTTTTTCGATTCTCCTTTGCTGCCATGTCTTTTTGTTTTTGGAACCCTATCTGTCCCCAACTTTTTTCCTTTTTTGTTTTGCTGGCTATTTCGCAGTATGGATCAGCGACGATGGAGTCCATGGACCATGCAGTGGCTAAACAAATACATCCTCTGCCTTGTGACGCGTTTGAGGACTATATTTGGGGCAAGTGCGCATTGTCCCATTGCATATTATTTTCTTTGCTCTCAGTTTCAGAACTTCACAGTATTCCCCACCCACATGAAGCTCGGCTGCCATTGTTTAACCCGATGGAACTCCCTGATCTGACACTATAGTCGATGCCATCTTTTCATTGTCATTTGCCCGACGCTCTTTTCCGGAACTTGCTGCCTCCTTCGTTTATATGCTCTGCTTTTCGTCGCAAATTCCGATCGCTAATCTACTAAATTTAGCCTTCGGGATCTAGCACCATGGTTCAACCACCAGCTTCTCAGGGTGGATCGAGGAAGATATCGTTCAATGTTTCCGATCAGTATGATATCCAGGATGTGATTGGGGAGGGCGCATATGGAGTTGTCTGGTCAGTTAGCTCTACTATTGTCATTGAGGAAGCTCTAGCCCTGACAGGATTTGCTTCAGCTCTGCACTTCATAAGCCCTCGAGCCAGAAGGTCGCCATAAAGAAGATCACACCGTTCGACCATTCGATGTTTTGTCTGCGAACGCTGCGTGAGATGAAGCTCCTCCGATACTTCAATCATGAAAACATCATCTCAATTCTAGACATCCAGAAGCCCCGTAGCTACGATAGCTTTACTGAAGTGTACCTCATCCAAGTACGACCCCCGAATCTTGTTATCTTATTTTTTTTTTTTTTTTTTCAACGCATGCCGCTAATACGCTGTTCAGGAACTCATGGAGACAGATATGCACCGTGTGATTCGTACTCAGGATCTTTCTGATGACCATTGCCAATACTTTATCTATCAAACTCTGCGAGCCTTGAAGGCTATGCACTCCGCAAATGTTCTTCATCGTGATCTGAAGCCCTCGAATTTACTCTTAAACGCAAATTGCGATCTGAAAGTCTGTGATTTCGGTCTAGCACGTTCTGCTGCGTCTACAGACGACAACTCGGGATTTATGACGGAATATGTGGCCACCCGCTGGTATCGTGCCCCAGAAATCATGTTGACGTTCAAGGAATACACCAAAGCCATTGATATTTGGAGTGTTGGGTGCATATTGGCGGAAATGTTAAGCGGGAAACCGCTGTTCCCTGGCAAAGATTGTAAGATTTTTACATTTCCATTTTTCCTAACCACATATCCTTAGAATACCCTATTTACGCCACAATAATTTAAACTCACTGACCCATTTTGAGCTAACTAGATCACCATCAACTCACCCTCATACTGGACGTCCTGGGCACACCCACCATGGAGGACTATTACGGCATCAAGTCGCGTCGCGCTCGGGAATATATCAGATCCCTCCCCTTCAAGAAGAAGATACCCTTGAAGGCGCTTTTCCCAAAGACCTCTGACCTGGCTTTGGACCTACTCGAGAAACTTCTCGCGTTCAACCCAGTCAAACGTATCAGCGTTGAGGATGCTCTGCGCCATCCTTACCTGAAACCATATCACGACCCAGATGATGAGCCAACGGCCGAACCGATCCCCGAGGAATTCTTCGATTTCGACAAAAATAAAGACTCCCTTAGCAAGGAACAACTGAAAGGTAAAGAAATCCTCTAGATCTTAAATATCCCTCTTCTGATGAATATTTACGTTGTTGTTATTGTTATTATTATTATTATTATCAGTCTAACCAGTATTCTTCCCGCTATAGTTCTTATCTTCGAGGAGATCATGAGATAGGAGCCAACCCATGTTACGAACGGAAATTTTTATCTTAACACGGAGAAGGGGGAAAAATAGATCCAAGAAACAGGGGGAAAAGAAAAGAAATCCCCCCCCCTTAGGCGTGCCACGTACCAAAGAGTTTCCTAACTTTCTGTTATTTCTGCTAATGCTTTGAG